GAGTTTATCTCCATCTCCATCATCATCATCATCATCATCTTCATCTTCATCAGGCTTACCAATCTGGTTTCACTTTGCTTCTTGATTTTGGTTAACATGATATTACCTGTATTCAGGGATTCATTAAATATCATCAACTGGGCGGTTGGTTTACCGGTGAAAAAGAAGAAAAAAAAATCAAATTCGAATATTAAATTTTGTTCTTTTAGAAAAAAAAAACACAAAATATTAATTCTCATGTTCAGAAGCTTGATGATGATAATGGTGAGGATGATCAAATCCGACATTATGACCTTGATTAACGATGGTTAACCAGTCATCTATTATTATGATTATGGTAATAGCTGGTTCGTTGTATATATAATATATGAAAGTCACTCCTCAATATCAAAAGTGATTAATTAAATGAAGCCATCAATGATTATAGGGTGTCGATTTTATCTTCTCTATCATCATCATCATCATCATCATCTTGTTGTTGTTGTTGTTGTTGTTTGGATTCTGTTATTTTTTATTTGAGCCACAAGGAAAAGTGGATCAGCATCTTTAGCTTTCTCTGGATGGATGCGAGATGCTAATGAGAGGATAACTTTTTTCTTCTTACAGATTAACTACAATAACTATTAAATTTTCATCTACACGCCTACATGTAGTGTGGGCTTGGTAATGATGAGGATGAGGATGATGATGGTGATGGTGAAAGGGAGATGAGAATGAAGAAGATGCTAAAAAAAGGTCTGGTATGAACGCACGTTTGAACGTGTTCACATGCTGAGATTATGATGGAGACACTGTTATCATAAATGTCTTTGTAGTTAGTTAATTGCAGTCACTGACATTATAATCATTTTGAGAGAGAGAGAGAGAGACAGAGATGGTTATTTAAATTATTACATGATGATGGTGATGATGATCAGTATGATTGATAAGTTAAGAGTGAAAGTGTATTGAATGATGAGGATACAAATTGTAGCTCTTAATTTGAGTGATTTAACATTATGATTATCGGGATTGATTGTTATGGGAATTAATTTTTTTTTTAAGTAATCAATAAGGTGACCACCAAGAGTGGGTGGGGTAGTGGGAGGATAAGGATGATATAATTAGTATTAGGTTAACTGTGATTATGATGTTATCAAAATGATTACGATGAAGGGATAATAATAGTTCTGGTTATCAATTGGACTATGTTATTATCATTGTCATTGATTAAAATAAGACAAAGTTTGTTGATAACAATCAAAATATGTATCCAGCTGATTGTCGGGATGAGGATGAGGTTGTAACTGTGGTGGGAATGTGATAATGATGCTAAGAAATGATAACAATAAGTAATCATAATAATAGTATTTCAATAATGATTCAAATTGTGATCAAAATTAAAACGCGTGTCAATTAAATATTGATAAATGAATATTAGTTTTGTAACAATCATCTTGTTAATCAATTGATTGACTAATTGACAGAGTAATTTGAAGATGGTGATGATGATGAGAGGAAATTGAATGAAAATCGAAAAGTTTTCTTTGGAACTTTTTTTATTTTCTTTTCCTCCTCCTTGTTCATCATTATCTTCATGATGTTGATCATGAATTCTTGTTGATACAATAATATTGAATGGAAATATAATAACAATCAAACTGATCAATAACAAGATGATTAAATTGCTTCAAGTCAAGAATATGATTTCTTTGTTTTCTTTTTCATTCTTGACATGTTGTTGATGTTGAAATGAACAATAACAACAACATGATCATCATTAGGAGGAAAAGGAAACATGATGATGAACAGAAAAAAAAAGATGAAGATGATAAAGTTTATCTTCCATCAATACATATAACCTCTGGTTCAATATCACCCAGTGGTTTTCAACTAATACTCACCAATCAACAATCATCATGTCAATTTCCTATAACATGAAATAATATAATGATAACCTTTGAAGAAGAAGAAGAAAAAATTTTCTTCTCCATCCTCATCATCATCATCTTCATCATACTCCATTATATAGGTTGAGTATTATGGTGAAATTGTAGTAGTCGAAATTGTAAACAATCAGTTGATTGTAATTCTTTGCAATATAACAACAACAAATAAAAGAGAGGGGAAAATGCAAGAGGTGAGAGGTTAAAGGTTATTATTATTGCCACTGTAATAACACCGATGTTAAGTATTGGCATTGGTGTCATAATATCACAAGATATTGTGACTTTTTTTATATTATTATTATATTATTATCATTTTGTAACTGGAAATTGTTGGTAAACAAAATGCTGAAGGAAAAAAGTTACTGGATGATTATGTTGATGTGACTTGCGAATCAAACAATTAGAGGGTAATCAAAGTTATCTCTTACATTACAGATACAATATTATTGATCAGTTAACAACCTGAATACACAATTTAAGAAGCAATTTAGTGTTTTCTTTGAGAAAAAAAAACACAAATTCTCTCAATACTATCCAGGTAACTAATATATAATTTTCTTCACCTTTTACCTGTTGTAATAGTTACAATATAAGAGATAACAAGTATTACACCTTGTAAACGTAAATACAAAGTGGCATTGGATTGTTTTCCACTGGAGGGATAATCTTAACAGTGGGCAATCAATGTTCATGGTGGGATTGGTTTTCAATGGACAATGGTTTAATTTCATGGTGAGAGGAGGAGGGAAAGTGAATATAACCTTGTCAATGTGATGAACTTTCAAGTTTTCAAGTTTTTGTTTCTTTTTCTTTACTGTTCATTAATCTGTGATGATATTATTATCGTTGTTGAGATGATAAAAAAAGAGAGAGAGAGAGATGACGAAGAAGAAGAAGAAGTAAAAAATCATCTCTCTTCGAACTTTTCTTCTTTCAAGTTCGAACAACAAAAAAAAGATTTCTACTCTTTCCATTATGGAAGTTTATTCAAAAGAACAAAATGAAATAGAGAATATTATGCTTCTCATCTTCTTATCTTCCAATTTTTTCATTTCTTTCTCTCTCATTCTCTTTCCAAGATCAGAATATCATCTTCATCATCACTATTATGATCATCTCATCTTCTCCTCCCATTTTTACCTTTACTCTTCATGGTTCTTGTGTATCTCCGCCTTCCTTTGATTTCTCTTCTTCCTCTTTTCATATATTCTGATGATTCTCTTTCTTTTTTTCATCATCATTCTCATTTTCATCTTCCTCTTTTTCTTACTCTTTGGTTTGTCTTTTTGGTTTTCATTTTGGTAACTGCGCCTGTATTTTACTTCCCTGGTTCCTTCCTTTCGGTTGGCCAAGGAAATCGATAAAATCGGTTTCATTAGGTTGCACAGTCACATCACTTGAACAAACCCTTACCCAAAACCTTTACCACTCCATCAATCTCATCCACCTCCTCCTCTTATTCACCCTCCTCCTCCTCTCCTTTCCTCCCACTCAGACTCATCATCATCATGTTACTCAACCATCTTCACTTTTTTCTTCCTCCTCTCTCTTTTTCTCTTTCTTTTACTTTTTCAATTTCTATTAAGATGCTGATGATGTTTACTAAACTTTGAAAGGTATCATCAGTATCATGATCATGAAGATGAAGATGAGAGAGTAAGAAAGAGAGAATTTGTCTCTCTCTCTCTCTCTCTCTCTTCTGAAAACAAAGGAAAAAAGGAGGAGAGAGAAAGAGAAATGTACATATGAGTTAATGGAGAAGAAGAAAGTGATTTCCATTTACTTTTATTTCTTTCTTTTTCTCTTTCTTTTTTGGTTTTTCTTCTTCTTTTTTTCTTCCTCATCTTCTCCATGAAAAGTATCAATCTTCTAATGATGATGATGATGAACAATATTGTGACGAAGATGATAAAAAGGAAGATGTGAGAAAAGATCTATAATTCAAAAGGAAACTGATTAAAGGGATTGGTTGAATCAGCGGCTTCTCGAATCATATACCAATGGTTAAGAATCAACATCCATGAACTTTTCATGATCTTTTCTCATCTTATTCCACTTAAGTTTCTTTCTTTCTTTCTTTCTTTCTTTCTACCTTTTCCATCTTCATCTTAATTTATCATCTTAAAAGCATCTTCATCATCTTCTCAATTTAAAGACTCTCAAAATAACATAATGAACACAAAGAGTAACATTTTCCTCTCATTTCCATTACATTGTTAATCTAAAATCATTTAGTTTTAAATCTCTTATTCTTCAGTTAATTAGTTAACTTTACAAATTGTTTCCAATTCAGTTAATCACATTTAATTTTCTCCACCGATGATTAGTTAATTGCGTTTAGACATTTACTACAATTAATTATACAGATAAACTTTGAGAATTGTAAGTTTTTTTTTGTAACAATAAGAACAAAAAATTATTCTTATTATTGTTTATTAAAATTTTTCTCACTTAGAAAATTAAATGTTCAGAATTAATTAATTTTGATTAACTTAATTACTACATAAAGTTACTATTTATAATTTTCTTTTTATAATAATTATAAATAATATAAAGTTAATTGTTGATCACCAATCGATAATATTGTTAATTGTTATTGAGATTCAATTGTTTTTAGCTTTGGAATTGATTTCTCATTAAATTGTTGATTGTTGATCAATGAATAATTAACTATTTATAAAACTATCATGATGAGAAATTGATTTTTCTAGATTCAATTATTATCAACAACAGATTAAAGTTATCATTAACTAATCACAATTAAGAAGTTAATTGTGAACAATAAGATGACATCTCTCGGTTTAAATAGTTACCAAGTTTGGGTTTGAATTTGATTTTAGTTTTTTTATCCAACAAAATGAAGAAAAAAATAAACTACCAATAATCCATTACAATCATATGAATACGTTAAATCGTTAATTACACAGTTTTAATTAAAAAGAAATTGGAAAAAAAAATTAATCAACAATTAAAAAAGAAAAAGAAATTGGATTAGTTCCCATTAAGAACAACAGATGGCGACAGTTCTGAAGAAAATGACAAAAAATGTAAACATTGAAACAAGAAATTTTTTTTCTTCAATCAAATTGGTTAAGTTTAACTTCAATTAATGTTATCTAATTGTTTTTAATTGTTATTAATGATTTATTTTAATTTTGTTAAAATTATTAATCACCCAAGATGAACATTAATAGTATTTGAAATTTCCACCTTTCCAAAAGGTTCTTCAAAAAAGTGAATAACTGTATTGGAAACTGTTTTCTTCCCATATAACATAAGAGATATTCTTCTGGTTAATTTTAGTTTTTCCTCTCTGTCTATTTTTGTTTCCTTCCTGTCTCTCTCTCTCTCTCTCTCTTTGTAGTTTTTCTTGATTGTGTGAGAGTGTATGTGTGTTTATTGTTGTTATTGTTGATTAGGTTAATTATTGATATTGATTAGAAATTGTAATTTTCTCTTAAATCCTTTGTTAAAATGCCACTTGGATTATCCAGCCAATTGATTATTCCGATAACCCTTTGGGGTAATCGAGCTCCAACTCATTGTATCTCTTGTGTTTATCTTGGTCGTGATCTGAGGACTTTGGTCACCGGTTGTAATGATGGTCAGTTATTGGTTTGGGATTCATTAAATTCCAATTTGAAAAATATTCAACCAAGATGTATGCTTTTTGGTCATTCATCTGGTATCATGTGTATTTCCAGTGGATCAGTTAATCCTGAAGATGATTTAATCATCAGCTCATCTGAAGATGGGTTAGTTATTTTTTTTTTCATGTAATCTTTTTCTATTCTATTAATTGTTCTGTTTTGTTTATTATTTTTCATTCTTTTCAGGGAAATGTGTCTATGGGATCTAAATGATGGACAGTGTCTTGAAAGCACCAGATTACAATATATTCATACCCATATGCAGGTAAACTGATTATTATAACCAAAATGGCGGATCGTTTGTTTATATTTTTTCTTTTATGGAATAATTGACAATTTCCTTTATTATATTATATTTTCTCATTTGTACTAATATATTTTTCGTCAATTTTTCTTCTCATTTTCACCCATAGATCCATCTCATGCAAGGAAACGGAGAGACTCGACTTTTCTGCAATGGTTATTATGCTGAAATTTTGATCATCAATCCGATTACACTTCAAATTATGTTTACATTATCATCACGAGTAAATCCTGATTGGATTTCAGCAATAGATATTGTCTATCCTGGTAAACCTCAAGGTAAAATATTCATTGTAATTATAAGTTAATTATTTTTTTCTTTCTATTTTTGTCCTAAATCAATGATCCGTTGTTACTATTTATTTTATTTTCTTTCCGTGATAGATTATATTAATCTATCTCATTCTGTAATAATTAGTATTTCTTAATTTTCTAATTTATTCTTATTATTTTCATCTAATCTTTTAAATATGTATTTATTTTTCAGACAATGTGATTGGCCTTACGGTTTCGGGTTTCGTTAAAGTTTGGATTCTCACTGGAAATGAATCTCGAAGCTCTGAACCAATCTATGAACAGGAATTTAAACAAATTAAACCATTGAATGCACTCAAATTAACTTGTAATACTTACAATCAATCAACAGTTCTTGTTGTTTGTGCCAAATATTGGCAGGTTAGTATAAAATTAACTAATTATTGTTACACTGATTAATTTTAATCCTCCATCTTTTTTGATAAACTTTGTCTATCCTCTCCTCTCATCACCTAATCAATAACAACAGTTCATAATAGTTACATCTAATCAGTCAACCTAATTATCTAATCTTATCGTAATTTAATTCATGATGCAAGAAGAAGCAAATCAGAAAACAATCCTGTCATTATCATTAATACAATCGATTGTTTATTAATTACTAATCATTAATCACTTGTGATTTATTGTATGTATGTGTTTCTGTTATGAGTGTGAGTTTGAGTAAACAAAATTCAACTAAATCAACTGAAAATTTCTGATATTTTAGTATCAAGATTATGACAAGAGGATTAACTAATCAATCGAAAATTGTAAAACACATTATTCATGTTCATCTGATTCTAATTGTCTTTTCTTTTTCTCATCATCATCATCATTTAGATTTACGATGCACACGATTTTTCCCTTTTATTTTCGATTGACAATAAACGTAACGAACGTTGGGCCGGCGGAGAGTTTCTATCGGCTGAGAAAATTTTAGTCTGGAGCGATTCTGGTCGAGGTTACATTTATCAACTACCGAAAAAGTAAGTTCTCAAGGGACGAATGTTAACCCAATAGGATTTTGAAGGCGGTGAACAAAAAAAAATCAAATGCAACTCAATCAATTTGGATAATTTTGTCCATTGATTGTTTTCACTTTGCTTTCACTTTTAATCCAGCTAATTAAAAAAGGACCAAGAAAGAAATTAATTACTCTCCAAAGATGATCATGGTTTTAATTTTCTCTTAAACTCTCTTACCCTCAAATCCCTTGGACCTTTATTATTATCCTGTTATTAACTTTCTTCCTGTTGACCAGCAGCTTTTATACCAAATTAGCTAATTGTTATTAATCCACAAGAAGTTGAATCATGTTGAAGTTTTAAAATTTTCATTGATACAATTTTGATTGATCGGATTTAAAGTCAAGGAACTGCAAAGAATCATGGAGATTATTGTTGACAAAAAAAAATCAATTGCATGTTATTCATCTTACATCATCATCTCTAACCTACTTTCTCTTTATATCTCTTTCTCTTTCTCTTTTTCTCTTTTTCATTTCCTTTTCCTTTCTCATCTTCATCATTTATTAATCATCATCATCATCATTCTGTTGTTTCTGTTGTATTATAACATAAATCCATAAATCCACAAATCCACCTTAGTTCACCCAAGGGAAAGGCTCATAGGTAAATTGAAGTCTGCTTGTGTTTGACTAAATTTGATTGTTTTCTAAACTAACAATTAACTAACCAAACTATTTGTTTACTATGATTATTTTCACAATTAACCCATTGATTTTACTTTTTTTTTTTACTTTTTTTTTCGCATAACAATTAACACAAATTTCCAATTGCATGTTTACTTTTCCTACTAATTTATTATTTCTGCTTGAAAACTAATCTAATTGCAACACTCCCCCACTCCCTGAATCCAAATAACAATTAATAATAAACACCTAATAACTGACAACATGATTATAAATACAACTGAATACACTAATTGTTCACTGATTAGATTCAGTCAATCATTGAACAATCAACTTTTGCTTTTTATTTTCTTTGCTGCTTCCAATTTATCATTTAATTTATCACAAAATTGTTGATTCTTTTTGTTTCAATGAGAATGAATAATTTTCTGTTTTTGATTATATTGATTAACTTTCGCTATCATTTATCAAACCATTGCCGATTTATGTTACTCTTTTTATTTTCAATTTGATTTTAACAACAGAATTTAATTTTTGTTTGTTTCATTTAACATCTAATTTTAAAATCTAATTGATTTTTCTTTTCTCATTGTTATAAACAATTAACTAATTGCTTCTTTTTTTCTATTGTTTATTTTTCACTTTGGCTGTCTAGTTGTATTCCAGATCGAAAGGAGTTCCATGAACAATCCAAGAAGAACCACGTCATTGATCCATATTGTATTCTAACCATAAAGAATGATGAAGTTGCGTGAATTTACAATTAACCTAATTCATTGAATTGTAAATTCGATTTATTTTTCTTCTATCTGTTAATTTTTGAACATTTTTCTCTTTTCTACCATCCTTACAGAGACTTCTTTGTCCTCCAGTTACTCAATATCATCTCATTCCAGTTCGATCTTCAAATTCATCATCTTCAACCAACACCCAACAACAACAACAACAGCAATCCCAACAACCTACTCGAGTTTTTATCAGAGGCGATTCCCTTGGTCGTATTGCTATTTGGTTCATTTCCAATGAAATGATCAACGGGGTTACTCTCAACGATGGAATCGCTCAGGGTGATCCTGTTTACCATGAACCTGACAATATTTACTCATTAACTGATGCCTGGAAATCAATGAAACCTCGTCCATTAGGAATTATGGATCAATTGGTTGGAGAACTTTTTTTTTCTTCTTTTCATTTATCATTCATCATTTAGAAGTTATCAAATTTATGTTAATTATATTTTGCTCTCTTTCTCTCTCTCTCTCTTTTTATACTTGTTCTTGGACTCAGAATTCTGGTGATCATCCGGATGTTAAAGTAACTGCAAGCGTTTTTCTTCCCATGCAAGGGACTTTAATTGTCGGTCGAGAAGATGGTACCATCATTATTGTACCTGCAACGCAAACACTTAAATTGCAACTTCTTCATTCACAATCATCTCAATCGGTCAATGATAATTGGCCACAATATCAGGTTCTTTATGGACATTCAGGAAAAGTTACTTGTCTCCTTTATCCTCATCATGTTGATTCTCGATATCAGATTCAACATCTAGTCTCAGGGGGAGTTGACTTTTCGGTCTGTTTATGGGATCTTTATGCTGGAACTTTATTATATCGTTTCTCCGTTCATGCTGGTGAAATAACTCAACTTTTAGTTCCTCCAAAAGATTGTAGTGTAAGTAAAATTGAAAGGAAAACTCGAAAAGTTCTAAATACTGACTATTCTTTACCTTTTCTCTTTCAACAGTCACGAATTCTTAGTTGTATTTGTTCCGTGGCCAGTGACCATTCGGTTGCACTTTTAAGTCTCAAAGAAAACAAATGTATCATGTTAGCAAGTCGTCATATGTTTCCCGTTTCAATAATTAAATGGCGACCTCTCGATGATTACATGGTTGTCGGCTGTGTTGATGGGTCAGTTTATGTTTGGCAGATTGAAACTGGACTTTTGGATCGAGTTGTTCAAGGGATGTTAGCTGATGACATATTAAGTGCCTGTGATGATCATCAGGCTGCATCAAATGAAGATCGTCTTACCAATCCAGCGATTCACCTTTTCCGTGGTCTCAAAAGTCGTAATCTTGATGCCATTAGACATGCAACCGCTCGAGGTATCCGACACATCGCTGGTCCACTTCATCAGCAGAAACAAGATGTTATCGATCCCGCCATTCAGAATCGTTCCCATCCACTGATGATACAAAGTTTAAAAACCAATCCAAAAGATCAAGATAGTCATGTATTGGCTTTCGATGTTGAATCTCTTATCGTTAATTTACTCGCCGATGCGTACACCCAACTTGACCCGGAGACACTTGAGAATCGCGGTCTAACCAATAACAAAGCTTATCAACGTTACATTCAATTGGTTGAATCGCCGGAATCATCTCACAAATTTTGGTCCAAAGTTAAAGATTCAGCAGAATCAGCTGCTCAAAAGATTCAAGCAAAAGCTGAAAGTGTTGGCTTTAAGCCTGACGTTAATGTGGCCACTGTTTTGTTTACCCGACGTTCATCAACAGAAACAGAAAACGCCAAAAATGGAGTTGAAAACAGTTCCGATAAACGAACCAATAAATTAATCTCTTCCGAGACTGATCTTAACATTGAAATATCTCAAATTTTACTTTCTCTACTTCATGGTTGGGGATTGGACATTGAAATGGACGGTGTTTGTGAGAGTAAATTAGGACTTCTTCGTCCTGTTCGACCCATTTGCTTTGGCGTTTTATCCAAAGGAGGTCACATGTCTCTCTATCTTCCAACTTTCCTGGCGAAACATGATGTTAAATGTGAAATCTCTAGTCCACCAGTAGCCGGAAAAGAATTAAAATTAACCAATGAATCACATTTATCTAATATTGGCTCTTCCGCTAAACGGGTTCGCATGAAAGAATCAGGATCAATGGAAACAATTTTCGATGAAGATCGAAGTCGAAAATTTTATGCCCGCTATCATTGGGAACTTTCTACTGCCATGACAACAACTCACCTTTTGACCATTTTATCTTTAGCTCGAACTTTAATGTCCATGAATAATTCTTCCTTTATTCCGGAAGGTGAGCGTAAACGTCGAGCGTTAAGTAGACTCTCTAGATCGGAATCACGAAATTCAGATTCACAGATTGAAGCGGATATGAAAGCCCTCGAAGCCGATATGATGGCAAACATTCAAGAACAATCAAAACAAGGTTGGAAACTATTGGCAGGCTTACATTGTGTATTTTTACCCGAACTGGTTAAAACGGGAGGATTTAAAAAGCCGTTACTTGATATTCTGGCCAAAAGGTGGCAAGATCGATGTTTAAAAGTTCGTGAAGCCGCTCAAACACTTTTATTGGCTGAGCTTCGTCGTATTGGTGCTCGGGGACGTAAACAATTGGTTGACGATTGGGCTTCCTACTTGTGTCAAGTGGACGAGCAAAACGGAGCTGCCATGAATAAACACCTGAACGTACCAAGTTCCGATCGAACTCAACAGTCGCAACATTCACCCTCCAACATGACTCCCGATAATGATCACGAAGAGTTCAATTCATCTGATGATGATGTAGATGATGTCGGCGGTGGGGTTGGTAGTGAAGGTGGACGAGGAGTTGGGGAAAAGGGTGAAAACGGTACATCTTATCAACGAAGGTCATCCAGTGGTTCAGAGATTAGACGGAAACAGTCAACGGCCATTATATTGCTCGGTGTAATTGGTTCAGAATATGGCGAAGGAGTTGAACCTTCCAAGGGTCAAAGAGTAATGGCCGAAGAAGATCCTAATCAGAAAAAGTCGATCATTGAAGGTTTTGGTGCTGGTAATTATACGCTCGCACGACACACTTCCCGAGCATTGGCTTATCTTGTTGAAGCACCACCTTCAACGGGATTACCCGCTTTTTCAGCCCTTCGTCGAGCTGCTATCGATCTTCTTGGTCGTGGTTTCATCGTTTGGGAACCTTATCTTGATGTAACCAAAGTTTTATACGCACTTCTTGAACTTTGTTGCGATGCCGATAATCTGATCCCAACGATGTCCTTTGGTTTACCCTTAACACCGGCAGCCGATTCTTGTCGAACTGCTCGTCAAGCGCTAAGTCTAATTGCGACCTCAAGACCAGGTTCTTTTATCACCACCCTCGCAAGGGAAGTGGCCCGTTACAATAATCTACAACAAAATGCTCAATCTATGAATGTACCGGTGGCCGGTTCTCCCCTTAATCGAGCCAAACCGGAAATACTTCGTAACATTGAACTTCTCATTGAAAAGAGTCAACATCAAGTTTCCGATCTCATAATTGAAACAATCGACATTATCCTTCACTGTTTAGATCCCAATCATTTAAAATCAAAAGAATTGGGTAAAGTTTTCCCGCCCATAACCAGATTTCCAAATGTAACCTGTTGTACGGCCACTCGTCGGATCGCCGTTGGTGCTAAAAACGGAAACCTTGCAATATACGAACTACGAGCACCCAAACCTCAACTAATCAATGCTCATGCAGCTTCAATAACCTGCTGTTCATTTTCCCATGATGGTAAACACCTCGTCTCATATTCAATGAACGAATGTAAATTGGCCTTTTGGTCAACGGCAACCAGTCTATTCGGATTAGGAAATTCGCAAACCAAATGTGTTAAAACCTTTAATACTCCACCAAATGGACCGGACAATGTGACCAAATTACCGAGACTCCTTTGGGTCAGCAATAAAACCATATTACTTGTCTTTCCCGATGGAAGAGAAAACAAATTTACAATTTAAATTGTTGATTCTCATCTTTCCATCAACAATTAGAAGTTAATTCATCCAAAGGAAAAATTGTTAAAAAAGCGTTCAAACGAAATTAATTGTTAACACATCCACACCAATGCAACACCAATCGAATTGTTAATTATTATTATTAAGTTAATTTAAATCTCTCTCTCTCTCTCTCTCTCTCTCTTCAACTCTTGCATCTTTAATTTTCATCTCTCTGTAATTTGTTAATTACTTTTTTTTCTTATTTTGTTATAATTTCTTTCTAATCATCAACAATTATTGTTTTGATTTGTTTTTCATATCATCAAACAATTTATATAATTATGATTTCTTACAATCTCTCATTATTTTTTGTTTTCGTAATGATTTCAGTTTAAATCGATACTTTAATCATTTCGTTTATCATTCACATTCACAATTATTTATTTCAATTTAATTGTTTTTCTGTCAACAAGAAAAATCAAATCCAATTGTAAACACTAATTTGTTGTGCTTTTTAATTGATAAGAAAAACAAATTGATTTCCAATCGATGAAATTTACAAATTATCCAATTATTTGTTTTTTTTTTTGCAATATAAATAGACAAGATTAACTAATTAGAAATTTATTTTATTGTCACAAAATTAAATCCAATCAATAGAAAAAAAAAGAAGAGAGAAAGGAATATATGTCCTAGAAGTGAACTGATTAATAATTATTAATACATTTGATTGATGCAATTAAAAAGTTAATTTCTCTTTGCATCGAGTGTAAAGTTTGATTGTTTCATTGGAAACATAGTAATGGATAAGCAATTGATTTTCTAAGCATTTTTGAAGGAAGAAATTAAATATTAAGGTCAAGTTAATTACTTTTACACACACACACAAACATACTATCAATTAAATGTCTAGTTAATTGTTATCATTTGGTTGTTTTTAATTGTAGGTAACATGAGTCACCCTCGCCATCAATGTTTTGTATAACCAAAGTTTTAATTGTTGTTGGTGTCACTCCATCGGTTGTATATTCGTAAATTAAATTAGCTGTGGCAACTTCTTGTTCCGAGGCAGCAATTTGAATCTGATCTCCAGAAGATGAGGTAACAATTAGTTGATCATTGGAAATTTCGGGAATCGCTGATTCTTCAACAACATTAACCTGAGATTGTCGCCGAGATTTTCGAGGTTTATAAGGAGCTGGACTTTTCGAATCACCTGAATGGTGTTTTAATACATGTTCTTTCAATTTATCTCGACGGGTTGACTCGTAATCACATTTTGTACATTTGAATGGTTTATCTTCAAGGTGAATCCTTTCATGTCGAACCAAGTGACTTCTCTCAATGAAACCTTGTCCACAAGTTACACAAATATGTGATCGAACCGATGAATGACTCCGCTCATGAGCAGCTAATTGTGATCGACGAGGTGAAAAATAGTTACAACCCTCGTGATTACAATGGAAAACATTACCCGTGTGAATACGTCGATGTGATAGTAAATGTGATTGATATTTTGTCGTGAAACCACAAGTATCACATAGAAATGGTCTATCCTCCCGATGAGTAGCCAAGTGTTGATCTAAAGTGTTTTTCATGGCAAATCCTCTATCACAAAATTGGCACTTATATGGTTTCTCACCGGTATGAATTCTCATGTGAACAATTAGATTACCCTTTGTACGAGATTTAAATGGACACATTTCACAATTGAAAGGTCTCTCATCGGTGTGTCTCATTCGATGTGAAAGAATAAATTGAATCCTATCACAGGTATAATCACAATCTTCACATTTATATGGTGGACCATCAAAATGACACTTCATGTGTTTATAATATTCACGATTCCATTTACAGGTAAACTCGCATAGACGACATTTATATGTTGTATCTTCCTCATGTACTCTAGATAAATGCTGTTCCAATCTTGTTGCACTGTGTCCAATATAACTACAATGTGGACACTTGATTCCCTCTCTCCATTGAGCTAATGACGCAGTTTGTCCAGCGGGTCTTTGATCGTTACTTGATTCATTAAGATCGAACATTTCATCCTCATCAGTTTGTTCACCAGATTTGGTTACGGTTGTCGCTGTGGTTGATACTTTTCGAGAAGCCGAAGATGCCTCACTTGTGATCCATTCTTCACTGTTGAATTTACTTTTCACTTTTCGCTTCCTAGAAGGTCCAGTTTCGCTTGTCTCCAATTTAATCTCTTTACTAATTACGTTTGAATGACCACCACCGCCATCGACGCTACTTTTATTTTTATTAACCTTTCTCCTTTTCTTTGGATTTTCCGTATTAACAATTTCCTGGTCTGTATTAGTATCGGTAGTTGGCTGATCTTTAAGATTATCATCTTCAATCTCTTCTTCAATAACATCTCCATCCTCATCATCAACCAGATCATCTTCATCTTCTTCGTCATCATCATCCTCGTTATAAGTTAACTCTCGTTGTTCCAAATATTGTTCACAAAATCCATGTAACTTGGTAATAAGAAAATGATTGGATAACCTTAAAAGACCAGAGACATTTTTCTCATCAATAGTAATATTACCAGAATACATATATTCCAATAGAATTTCAAAACTATCAGCATCTTCCCAACCAATGGTAATCTCTTCCTTAGTTAATTTAACTTCTTTCAATATTGATTCAAAGTAAGGACTTGAAGCAGCTAAAACCGATCGATGGGCTGGAAATGTTTTACCACCAACATTTAAAACGATATCACAAAATTTACCTTCTTCCCTTTGTGAACGAAGGTTATCCAACATTTTCACTTTCCACTTGAAACCCACAAACAAACAAACAAAGAAAACACTTTCAATTCAAACTTAATTAAAATTATAAAAGAAAAGAAAAACTTAAATTTAATTGTTTCCAATTAAAACTAAATCAAGGGACAAAGACAAAATTTAGCAGTGATGATGAGGACACAATGAAATTAGTGGATGATCCTCAAGGTTCAGCTTTCCAAGGATCGACTACCCTATATGGTTGCCATGGTTACGCGAATGGCGATCGACCGGCGCGGCGTTTGAATCTATGGTTTTGTTTTTCTTTTAACATTTGAGTTTTGATCGATGTTCATTTTTTGCTCATTAATTGTTTCTTAATTGTTGGCAATTGATTGGAGTTTTTTTTTGTTTCTTTTTTATTATGGAAAAGGTAAGTTACAAGTTTGAATTGATGTTTTCCCTGTTTAGTGAATATTTTTGTAATTGTCTTTGTTTTTGTTTTTGTTTTGCTCCTTTTCTTGGGTTTTGTTTATTTATTTTTTCTTTTGTGACTTTATTTTGATTATTTGATTTGTTTTTGTTTTTCGTTTTCAATTTTGTATTTTAATTAGATTTTGGGTTTTCTATTTAGTTGATGGAATTGTTTTCTTCAAATGAATTGGATTCTCCAATATTATCATAGTGTCGTTTACGATTCATGTGGTAAGGTTTCTCTCTGGTACCAAATACAAAGAGAGATAATTTTGTTATGGTTCCTGATCGTTTCTTTGGTTGCTGTTGGATTAATTAAATTGGAAAAATAATTTATTGATTTTGAGTCGTTAAATTTGGGTTGGTGTAATAACTTACATTATCTCTGATTTCCAGTGTCCAATAACCGTATGGTCTTTCTGCCCAAAAGTGGACTGAAGTGAAAAGCCAATTCTGAAAACCTTCCGATGATTTATCCTTCCGTCTTGAGCCCAATAAGATTGAACTGGTATCTATTGAGAAAAAGATAATAATTTAAAATGGGAAAATTTATCTCTAACAAGTCTAACAAGTATTATAATCGTAATTAGAAATTTTAAATTAACATACTTGACGGTGAAAACAATTCAATTTCAAGTGCTCCTCTCAATGGATAATCAATGGTCGCCATTAATTGTACGTGTTCAACAAAATTAACTTCACCAATTGAACCTCGACATCCGCTGACATTAAAAGCCACCCGAAGTTTAGATTCACTGGAGATTTTCAAAGGCTCTCTGATTAGGAACAACAAAGAAAACGAAAACGAAAATAAAAAATGTGATCGAAACAGGAGAAAATCAATTGATTAGAACAATTTACTTCAATTGAAGTCCAACATTACAGAATCGCTGTGGAGGAACCGTTGGCCATCCCTTGGACCATCGAGTTAATAAATCAGCGTCCAAAAGACCATATCCAAAGCGATCATTGTACAAAAGTCCAGCTCCGTTCCGTTTCCACCCTGGATTAGCTCTTAAGGCGTAAACTTGTGAAGTCCAAACAACTAAATGTTGAACATCTCGCCAATTAAGATTGGGACTTGAAGAAAACGCAATTGAAAATTAAATTTCTGATAATCAATCAAATGGAATCCACTGGAAATGGAGCTTACTTTGATTCCAATAGAGAGCCATAATTCCCGCCGCTATTGGTGCAGCAGCCGAAGTCCCTGTGTGATCTTGTGTACAAGAATTACCAATGTCCGTTGTTGCGACTTTACCTTCACCTTTACCACCACTCGAATAGGTCACCGCTATTGTTGATCCACATCTCTCACCATACCAAGGAAAAGATCTGAATTGGTACAGAAAAAAAAGCCAAATCAAATGAAATAAGATTGATTATAAATCACAATCCACTTTTGTACAATCAAAACTAACCCATTTTGTGTTACACTTCCGATGGACATTGTATAAATTGAACTGGCATAACCATCACAGTTACAATTATCATCATTATTACCACCATTTCCCGAAGCCCAAACATAAATTGACCCACGACCACGGCGACCATAAGTAACACCTCGAAGTAAAGCTTCTTGGGCCAATCTTTTTGGTCCTTCAACAGTTTCCCCATTATCGGCTGGACCCCAAGATGCACTGTAAATATCAACAAACTGATATTTGTAGGCCAAACTCCGACCCTCAATGGCATCGGTTATCGTACCATCCAACAATTTGATGCCTAAAAAATTTACATTTCATCAGAATTTTAATTTTAAAGCTTAATCAATTTACCAGCAATTTTAGCATTAAAAGCTATTCCAACACCGCAGAGAAAATTATTCGCGCTCATTGCGATTTCACCAGCACATCGTGTCCCATGACCATTGTCAGTTCCCACCCGTGGACTTGGATCAAAATCTTCATCGTTAAAATCATAACTTGCCATCGGATTCTAATCAACAATTAAGGTTATTTAATCGTTTACTCAGCTTTTAATCAACTGTTAATGGTAATTTTCGCTTATTGTCATTTCAGATTAAAAGACTTACATAATTTGGCTTCAAATCACTGTGAGTGTGTTCAAGACCTAAAGATGAGAGGGAGAGAAGATATTAATTGTAATTTGATACCACGATGATTAATCGAAACGAAGATGAAGTCAAATGATACAGAATATTGTTCGAACCCTTTCCTTTCCATATTCATCTCTCATGGAATTAATCATTTACTGATTATACAATTGGCCTAATCTATACGTGAAAACGATAATAATTGTATTCCTCATGTCCAGTGACATTTACTCATCATTATCTTAATCAAACTATCAAGCAATATCTTGCAGTTGGCCAGTTCAATTGAGAGGAAAATTTCAATCTCTTTTTTCATTTTTCCGTAATGATAATCAATTGAATGATCATCTTTAATCCTCAACGATCATCTTCATCAAAATCATTTAATTGTCACTAAACAAAAATTAACACATAGAAAAGGGGACAAGAAGGTTAATCTTTAATTGAATGGAAATATTATTCTATTCCTCATTATCAACCCAATCAAACAATCTCAATCAACAATTAGAACTTTTATTCTCAATCGATTTCAACAATTGGTCGAGAAAAAAAACTATCAAATTCAAACAACGAAGATTCGATTCAATGTGAGGCGAAAAATATTCAGCATCATTAACTCACAGGGTGATGATGAAACAGGGAGAGAAAAACGATTAATTGTAACTCTAATGATCAAGATAATCAACTAACCATCATCAAGAATCGCAACCGTAATCCCCTTGCCAGTGTATCCATGTGACCAAGCCTCCATTATTTTATGACTTCGGGCTACACTGTTAATCTCATTGGTGATATACCATTGAGCCATGAAAAGTTTATCGTTAAACCTTAATGCCGCCTTCTTAACTGGATTACCAACTTCCGGAATCGGTTGAACTGTTTCCGCACTTCGAGTATCACTAAACAATGGGACTGGTTCCATTTGTCTCATTCCTAAAATTTTCTCTGTCAATTGATCCTCATCATTCGCATTAACCTCATGATGATAAAGATTATCATGATTAAGATAATCAACATTCCGATTAACAACAACATGATTCTCTTTATGATTAATTGTCTTTTGAGATGAAGTTAAAGATGAATTAATTGTTAATGAACCTCGTTTATATCTTTCTAATGGAATCTGTGGTTCGGTAAATTCAATTCCCTCATCAGCGGCTAAATCTTTAATTATATCGAGACTTCGAGTATATTTATTAGCTGCAGGAATTAACAGTGAATAAGTATCGTCAAAATTAGGAACCTTGTCCAGAAGAAGAGATAATAATAATTTAGAGTTAATAATTAGTCTAATTGTTGATTTTCTATTCAATTAAATGGTGAAACTACTTTACCTCTCGAACCTCTATTGGTCCATATTTGGCTGCGAAATATTCAACGTAATGAATTCCCTTGTTGGTACGAACGATAATTTCGTGGACACTATTTAAAAATGGATCTAAATGATTATAATGACAATTAACTTGGACAACAATTAATAATGATAAACTTATGATCGATTGGAAAAACATAGTTTAAGTTTTTGAGAACTGAGAAAATTTGATTAACTTGAACAGCGATCATTTATCAATGAAATGGTTACAATCAAATTGTTTCCTCTCTGTTATTTAGTTAACTACGTTTAATTTGTGATTTGGTTAATTGTTATTGAGTAATATTACCTATGTAATTGATTAGGTGTGAAAATTGTAATTTGGCAATGGAAAGTGTAAATTATAAGTTAATTGTTTGGAAACAATTAACAATTTTCTCTCAATTAATTGACATTTAAAAGTTTGTAATGAAAACTGAAATACCAACTTAATTGTTGATTTAATTGTAGTTGAAGTTGATAATAATTTAGCAAGATTATTGGTTAGAAACTTTTTTTTTTCATCATCAATTGGTTAATTTATTGATTAAATGAAAGTTTCCATTATCAACAATTTGAGTTGATTATGTTTGTAGCCAAAAATATAAATTACAATTACAATTACAATTTGATTTGCTTCTTGATTGTTTGATATTTTCTTGGTGGGAAATGTGATGACTAGTGGACACTATTACAATTATTGGACAATTAGTTGAATAGTAATAATATACAAATCGTAGTTTGTGATCAGTTGATCAACAATTGGGCTTATTGAAAACTTTTGCTTCGTCGGTGATAATCAAGAGGCAATATAAGGTGATGGCCTTGGACCTGAGGCACCGCGTTTGATTGTGGCGAAATGGTGATCTTTTGAGCCTGGAGGTGAACAGGTATCAAGTCCACTTGCGGTTGAATAAGGTTCTGAGTACTGATGGTGAGTATTGATCGGTGTTGATGCTGAATACCCTCGATCGGATAGTAAATGATTTCCAGTTGAATAAGTGGCCAATCCTGAGCCAATCGAGCCCGTTTTCATGGTGATCGGATCGATATTCATACACTTGGTTGGTAAATTAATTCTAGGGCCAGATTTTTGATTCGATAAATCAGATAATGATAAAGAATTACTTGGTTTTCCATCATCTTCTATGGAGAGGGAAGAAAAAGTTAATTAGCAAATGGAACATTTCGAAAAAGTTAAGTTTTCTTTTATTATTTTACCTGAGTAATGATTGTAAATCGGTTGGGGTTGACGATTAATACAATAGAAAGCAATTAGAAGGAGGAAAATTATGGTTGCAAGAGATAAACTGATCGGTAAGATAAAGGCCATATTTCGGTATAAAGGCACTTCCTCGTAGTTGGAACTTAGTTCGTTGTTTCGAGTTTTAGCCAACGAAAATGAGCTACGAGAAGATGATGATGATAATGATGAATCAACATTCGGCATTGTGACCAAGTATTCGGCTTGGGTCACTCCAGCATCGTTTTTAGCGGTCACTAGGACAACATAGGTCATTCCAGGGACGAAATGATGGAGAACAATTTCCTTTTTTGATCCTTTAAGTGCTAATTTCTCGTGGACAGGAGTCCATATGTTAGTGTGTTTTGGACGCTTTTTAATCTCGAAATAATGTATTGGACAACCTCCGTTATTCCACTGGCCAAGGTTAAGAATAACTTCAGTTCGATTAGCCCAAATAACGGATGACATACGAGTTGGTGAAACTGGAGCTAAGGAAGACAAAAAAAATAGATTTAAAGTGAGAAAAAAGAAATGGAATCAATTTTACGAGAAAACGAAAAGTGACCTTACCTGCACCTTTAGTTCGTGAGTAAATTTTTGGACTTGCCTCTCCAGTTCCAAGACTATTCGTTGCCGTCATGTAGAGTGAATATTTGGTTCCACAGGAAAGATCTTTAAGAATATAACTTCGTAATTCGGGTTCTAATTTGATATGATGAAGAGTTTGCTTGTTTTCCTCTTTATAGTAGAGATTATATTCTCGAATGATTGATTTATCTTTAACATCCCGTTCCCAGGCCAATTCTATGGAATCATTGGTCGTACCAATAATATTAATCAACGGAGATATCGGCGGTGAGGTTTCCAGGGTAACACCAACCACCGGATCAGATAAAGGCCCAGATCCGGCCTGATTGTAAGCTTGAACCACGACCCAGTAACGGGTCAAAGGCCTTAAATTGGTCAAATAAGTGGTAAATGTTGGTAAATTACGTTCCTCGTCCATATTGACGGTATAATGTTTAAACTGGTACCGGTCAGTAGCGGATTCCGTCTTGTAGCCGATATAATAAGCCAAAATCGGACCATGTTGGTGTTCCGGAGGAACTGGCGACCAGGTCACTTTCAATGACTGCGAACCAGTCGCTTGAACTTTAATTGACTGTGGTGGACCTTCAGGAGCTAAACAATTGAACAAAATGAAAAAAATTGAAAAAAAGTAAGTAAACTAAAGTTTAAAGTAAACACGATCTAGGAAATTGGATTAAACTTTGCAATTAATTGACATGGAAATTGATTAATGGAAAACAAAGAAATAGGAAAAGAATTAACAAATTAATCAAACCTTCTTGACGAGTAGTGACATTAATTGGATCACTTTTATCACTTTGACCGACACCATTTTCACAATAGACACGAAAAGTATATGTTACCAATGGAAGTAGATTCGAGATGAGTGTTGATAAAATTGGTCCGTCAACAGTTAATTTAGAATTAAAGTTTTCACTAGAATTGTGATTAACACTTTCAGGTGAATTAATTGTTGACTCATAAATTATGTGACAGTGTTTAATTATTGAATTACCATCAAAAGGTAACTTCCAATGTAAACCAATGTATCTACTGGAGATGTTAAAAGCTTCCAGGTTAATTGGTTTATCAGGTTTCTCTGTGTATATGAAAAAGTAAACAATTGATTGAGAAAAAAAGAGTTAATTAAATTAATTAATTTAGAAGACAAGAAATGACAGAGAGAGAGAGAGAGAGAAAATGTCTTCTCATCATTTCCAATAGTGATGATCAATGAATGAAATTTATTGGAAAAATATCTTAAACTTTATCATGAAGAAGATGCTGACAAAAGTAATGGCCTCAATCGATTCGAAGAAATTCTGATTCTTGGCGTTTTTAGAAATCAATAGTTAAATAATGATTTCAAATTCTTTTTCATTTCATGTTCCATGAGAACGAAGATGAAAGAAATATAGAAGGAGAGACAGACAGAGAGAGAATAATTCTGAAGATGATAATGATGAGAGGAAGAAATTACATGAGGAAGTTGAAGAAACGAAACATGAAAAGTGAATAGAAAACAAAGAAAAGTCCAGTAACTATTTCATGATGATTCTGATGATAGAAACTCTGAATGGAAGGAGGTGAAACCAGAGCATCTTCATCATTCCTTTTATCACAATGATGATATTGTTTCGCTTTGAAACTTTCTCTTAAAATAAGAGGAAGATGAAAATTGTGATGATAGAAGCTCTTGTTGCGACCTTTTCTGGCCTTTTAAAGATTGAATAACGACAATAGTCAATGATGAGGATGATAAATAAAAGGAATAGAAAAGTGAAAAAAGAAAAAAAAAGTTCTAGTAAAAGTCCTAAATTCAATTATCGACTTTTCATCTTCCATCATTTTCCAAAGATGTAATAATTTTATTTCCAATGAAATTACTACGAAAAATATAAATGGACTCGGAAAAATCAACAAGAATCAATCGAATGTAAAGTTAATCCTTAGAAATTATTAATAATTGAATTTCAAGTGTTGAATAATCTTCATTAATGGAAGAATTAAAATTCATCATGACTATCATTTATTGAGTTTTCGTGATAATCAAACTGAAACTATTGGAAACATGTTCATTACTTTTAATCTATTGATCATCTTTCATCATCTTTGATAGCAGTTTAATCGATTAATTGAATATTATCATGACGAGAATAACATGGTAAACCAAATTCTGAGACTCATATGAGGGCTTCAATTGAAGTAACAAATTAGTGTATGGGTTCAGTGGTGGGTAGAAGGATGAACAACAACAACATGAAAACCTTTTTGTAACAAGGTTTGAATCAAGTAGAAAACAAAGTTTCCTCTTGTTGTTTCGAGCAAGAATTTTTCTCATCCTTGTTCAGGAAAGAAATTGAATTTACTCTCACAATGAAGAAAGAAAAGTAAATTCTGACCATTTCAAGTTAGATAATCCTATTTGGATTGACCAGCACGTTACTTCAACTTTCACCTCTGTTTCCAATTAATAATAATGTTTATAAACTTTTCATGAGTTTCAAAATGGGTAAAGTTCAGGTAGAGAAGTGAATTTTATGCCACCACTTCAAACATTGAATATTATCTGAATAAAAATATTTATTCTATGTATTTTATAAAGGGCATTTCACCAAGTTCTAAACAAGTTTTTCTGTAATAACTTTTTGTTTGGGAGTGTTCAGACCCCAGACTCTAGTTATGGGAACTTGAGTGATACTCAATTGTAATATTACAATATCAAGTTCATTCCGGTCATAGGGTTAGGATACGGTTTAGAGGTCATTTGATGTTCACAATCGAGTTTTCCAGCAATTGAATATAAAGACATTTTTATTAATAAGTATAAACTTCATCAAGTTACCGCTACAAAAAGTGTGACCAAAGAGTTTTGATTAATGTCGAGGTTTGCATTTAAATACGTCCAGAGAAAGAGTTTAAGGTTTGGTCAGTTTGACCGATGTGAACTAATTGGAGTAATTGTAGTAATATTGAGTAGTAAACGATTTAAAAGAAATAATATTGTTGGTTAGATCACCAATTATTAACATTAATGATTACCTTAATTTTACTTAATTAATCAAAATATGTTTCATTTAATCATCATCATCATCAATTCACTGGAATTCAAATTTTACCCATCGATTTAACTTAGAGACTCATCATGATCATCAAACGCTTTACTTAATCTTTTGTTGCGCATACTACAGTCAAATCACTTCGAGTGAATCATAAACTCATTTATAGAGAATGAGATCTCATTTCGAGTGAACGTAAACCCTTTAAGCTAAACTCATTTAATCCCTGAGCTCAAATCGAATGAACGAAATCTCACTTGCTCAAAATGAAATCGTATTTCTAGTGAATAAAAATAGTTTACGAACAATAAGTTGATTGTTTTATTTGTACTTAATTAGCGATTTCTTGATTAGTCATACACTTTGGAATATATCGCATCATATGATCGAAAGGATTTTGACATCAATTGATGTAATTAACTCTGATGCCAATTCAACTCCACGAAAAACATCATCGGCTGTGGACGGTCGATATTTTCTGACCCAATATTTTAGTTGACTGAAAAAGTTTTCAATTGGGTTCAGGAAAGGAGAGTAGGCCGGAAGAAAGAGAAGATGATGATCCTTCGATTGAAATAATGATTCAACTTCAGTCAACATTGTCCATTACAACAACAGCACCAACGATGTTTTCAGATTCCAAATGATCAATTAACTTTTTTCAGGAGTCGACATAATCAGTTGTATTGTAACCTTTTTCTTTGGCCTCATAAAGATACAATGACTCATTTTCATCACAGCACAAAATCGAATGATTCCTTTCTCTTACGGCTTTGACTTTAACATTTGATCTATCACCTACTTTAGACCATAGTGATTCCTGGCATGAATAGCGATTCCAGTCTCGTCTAAGAAAAATATCTTTTTCCTCTAAATATAAAGATCTATAAATTCGATCGCATAGTCTTAGCGACGCTGAATAGTATTCGGATCAAGAATAAAAGAAAATTTAGCTTGACACTCTCCCTTAATCCTTAAATCTCTTACATTGGCGCCATAACTTTTACACTCTTAACTTACCTTTTTCTTTATCAATCCTTTATATACTCCTCTACTCACATGCTGTACCAAATTAATCATTTCTTTTGGCGCTTCAATGCTGTTCACTTTCCTGTGTTAATGAAGCAAAGATCATCTCAAATCAACGTTCGATTGAATTTGACCAATAAGGATAATTTTTACCTTTTCATTGTAAACGCCTTTCTTACTATTTAAACCGATTGGTTTGTTGTTAAATCAGTGCAGTTGATATACAAGTCAACGTTCAACTTGATTTGACTCTTCATGTTTTCTTGTTATTTTAAATCATCAAATCAAGTTTCAGGTGGTCAATTGATAGACACAGCTAGTTGATTTAATTTCGATGTTGATTTAGTTGATGAGATAAACAAATATGATCAATAAATACAATCAACACGGTATTAATAACAAAAGTTATCATTTATGTCCAAAAAGGTGCAGGTGCAACTTAAAGCTGCACCTGCTAGGTTAGGTCAGTCAGGTCAAGAAATCACTCAACTGAGGCTCGAACGCGGGTTGCATTGATCACTCAGCATGTACCTTCACCACCAGTCTGGTTGGTGAGGCACTTAAAAGTAATCTTTTCAGAACTATATAGTCAACCAGCAAACAAATAAAAAGCGGGTGTTTTGAAACAATTAAAGCTCTAAATTGACACTAAAACTTATTGATTTTTTCATCTTATCAACAACAGATGAAGTAAATTAGTGATAATAATTAACATCAACATTTACTAAGCCAAAAAAAATAAAGAAAAAAATTCAATTTCATAATAAGTCACAAAAATATTAACCATTTTGATCAATACAAATTTCCAAGCGGCGATTAAAATTATTAATAACATTGATCTAGCTATTTGTGTTAATTTTTAGGTAACCACATGTAGATTGTTTTGGCTTAATCTAATTGGATTACTAATCACCACCCTTAGAGTCAGTTCACTATCAAGTTATATAACTTGTTTACGTTAGCTTTTACGTAGGCAATGCCATAAGTAGAAATCATTTCAATTGCTCTTAGTGATGTTTGTGATCATCAAAATCATCGATGATCGTCGGAAATTCAATGTCGATGATTTAAAATTAAACATCGATTTTTTAGCCTCATTCTTTTTCTCTTTCTTTTCCTACTGAACTTTTCCCTCGCATCGAGTTTTCCCTCTTTTCTCTTTCTCTTTCTTTTCCCTGTGTCTTTTTCTCTTTCGAAAAAATATCGATGATCATCGATTTTGGTAAAAATTATTGCGTCACAATCGATTATTGGCAAATCCAATAATCGCACATCACTAATTGCTCTTAACTAGAGATGAACCGATCTCGGGTTTTTGCCAGATCAATTTATTTCGATTTCTTTGAGAAATCGAGCGATTTCGATCTAAAAAATTCAAATTTCGCAGGCAAAAAAAGCAGAATTTTTTTCTATTTTTACTACAATCTTTTTTTGTCTTACTAATTTCTTTATTTGAAGGTAAATTCATTGTTCAAAATCCGTAATTTTCCGATTTCTGGCCTAAAGTCACATGTTTTTGCAGATGCTCAAAAGTTGAGATCGATCGATTTCTCTGAACCAAAAGTAAATTGCGATCGATTTATAAATTGGATCGGAACATCTCTACTCTTAACTATGATATCTGTTTATTATTGCGTGTACTTAGAATGGCATCAGGGGGGTTTTTTGATCAAGAGAGTAAGAGTAAGCTAAGAGTATTAATTTTCCGATTAAATTTTTCAATTGTCAGTATACTCTATGCATGTATAATATTTTTGCATCAAAATATCTCTTCTAAAATACTTTAGTTCGTAAAAAAGTATCAATTATACAGCCTGAGAGAATGAGTTTCTCATATTTCAAACTTCATGTTACGGCACAATGAAATTGATTGCGTTTCATTTAGATTATCGTTCTAGTAATATAAATAATCGGCCTAATTTATTAGAGTGAATAGTTTTATCGTAAGGTGAATAACTACGATAATTTTAACAAAGAGAAAATCATTAATATCATTGATAAAGTGAGTCATAGATCCAATAGCAAATAATTGTGTTAACTTAACTCTAAACTTATAAATAAATTGTTATTACGATTTGAATTGTTAATTAAATGGTCAATAGATTAATTTAAGTATCAAAATGAATTAAGATGGACATATAATGATAATAATGAAGGGTTTTTATCTGTCAGATAAATACAATTAAATGGTGATTAATTGTTGTTACTCTTGGGTAAATGTACAATAACCAGAGTGGAAATGGTTATTGAGATGCATTGTTATTGTAATCAACTAATTAGCTTCATCATTTACTAATAGTTTCCATTAACTAGAAAGATTTATTTCCACGTTCATCACTATTCAATGTCACATTGAAGAGAGAGTAAGAGATGAGGAAGATGGTGGAAAGATGAGAAAGTAAGTAAGATGAAGATAAAAGTGAAAGTCATGTTTTACCATCTTCCACCTTAATAATGAATCACACTGAATGAGGAAGATGGAAATAGGATGAAGATGATGATGGACCAGAAAGTGTTTACTTTTGGTCTGTCTATGGGAATAATATATCATCCATGAAAAAGGTTAATCTACACAAAGGTGACTTAAGAAGATGAGAAAACAAAAAGAGTGAGAGAGTTTCAATGCTCATCTTCATCATCATTTGTTATCCTCATCCTCTAAGGATTGTTTCATAATAGTAACATTGTTTCTTGCACGTTCTCAGCTTTTGTTTGTTATGGATTTTGATTCATCATCATTATAATGAACATAATGTTTATCTTAATAAAGAGAAACAAAAAAGATGCAGATGAAAATGGAACCATGATAAATCAGAGTAAATCATTTTAATCCTCATTACCATAAGAATCTTAATCTATTTGCCTAATTTTACACAAGCGATTTGATTGTTATTAGTTAATAGTTGATGAACATTTCATGATGATTATGATGATGATTTGCAACATCTTGATCTTCAAATATTAATTGAATCATTCATTTCAATTACTACCATCATCATATCCATAAGGTAAATGACCATTGGTCAACCTAATTTTCATTAAACTTTGATTAACTTTTCATTGATCAAAATAAAAGGCTGATGAAAATAATGATTCTATAAATTAGTAAGTCACCACAAACCTCAATGTTTATCATGAAAGTCAAATTAAATTAATCAAAATTTCAAATACTATTAATATTTAAGATGAAAGTTAATCATGATCAAAAAAAAGTCTCATAATTGAAATGAGTAGATTTGATTGAGAGAAAAAAAGAAGAAAAAAAAGTTTAGAAAATTGAATTGGAATCTTTTTTTTGTTCAGATTGATTTTTACTCAGTTGAAAATGAAGTTCATGAAAAAGATGCTTCTGATGATGATACTGATGAGAATGATTCAGATGATGATGATGATGATGAAACAAAAATAGTTAAATAATATAAGAAGAAGAAGTTGCAACAAATGGAAACATTTTTTAAGTGAATTTCATGATTCGATTGAGGAAAAAGCAAAAAGCACTTTAAGATGAAAAAGGCGTTTTTGATGGGAGTGGGAAGAGGGTGTGAAGATGATGATGATGACAGAGAGTGAGAGAGTGCAAGAGAACCATCAAAGACAACTGACGGATAAGTGTCTCTCCCTGTATCTTCATGGAGCTGATAGAGTTTTCCAAATTTTCCAAATTTTCTTTTCTTTTCAACAACTTTTCCTCTCCTAAGCCATTAACAGAATTATCATTTTTTTCCAATGGGAATTCATTTATTCCTCAACATTATAAATGTTTAATGTCGCCAACTTTCAATCTCAATAATCTAATCATGAGATTACAACTTTTTCTCTCTCTCTCTCTCTCTTGAAATTGATTAAGATGTTGAAATGTTGATTAAGTTTATTATTATATTGATTACTTACCAATTACAGTTAATCTGATTGATACTGAGGCATAACCATAATCATTATGTCCAACACATGAATAGACATCTTCATCTTCCCGAGATATTAAAGTGACCGTTAGTATTGATATGATTCCGTCGACATCGGACATTTGAGTTGTATTGATTGAATATTTACTATACATGTTGAGGTATAAATTTCGATGATTAGATAGTTATGATTTTATTTTATTCCAATTTTTCAGTTACCTGTTATTTAGTTGATTGTTAATCTTTTCAGTTGATCGAGTCCACTCCATGGTTATTGGTAGATCACCATAACCGACACATCTAATGGTCACTTCACCTCCTTTCTTAATCTCAATCGAACTTGTTTCAGCCGTTATCTTTGGTGGACCTGAACAATTAAAGAAATAATCAGAGAGATTAAAACAATTTGAATGGAAAACTATTAATCAACTTACGATTAACTTTAAAATTGATTATTTTATTGATTCCATCGCCGATTCCATTAATAGCTGAACACATGAATTGAGTTTCATCCTCATCACTTATCCTTTCAATCAGAAGTGAACCATTTTCAAATTGTCTTAATCGTCCATCTCGAGGTCCAACAAATCGTCCCAATGGACCTAATCATCATTATTATTAACAATTAATTCTTGATTCATTGTTTATTTAAATCAACTTTGCAGTACCTGATTTAATTAGCCAAGTTATATTGGGCCTTGGATAACCATCAGCATCACAATTGATTATCAATTTTTTACCCAAAGTCCCATTGATATTTGTTGCTGGTTCAATGCGCCATTTGGGTTTAGCTAAACAATTAAAATCACAATTTGATTATTTCGTAAACAATTTAAAATTAGTTGATCTTACACTGAACAATTAATCTAGTTTTCCTTGAATCTGATCCGTACTTGTTACTTGCTTGGCAAGTGTAATCGCCTCGATCAGAGATATGAACTGATTTGAACAATATCGATGATGAATGGTTGGACCTTTCGATCAGGAAGTTATCACTTGATAATGAAGATGAAGATGAAGAAGATGATGATGAGAGATCACTTTTTTCTGCAATTCTTTGATCATCTTTGTACCAATTAAAATAGATCTCAGAATCACCTTTGTTGATAAAACAGATAATGTTTACTTTGGTTCCTTCAAGGACTAACCTTGATTCTGGTAAAAAAACCTCATCAATTGTTGGTGATGCTGTTAATCAACAAACACAGAATTAAATCATTAACAATTAAAATATTGAAGCATTATTTCTGCCCTAATCAAATTTACATTCAGATCACAATTAAACATAGCCATTGATTAACTTTGACAACTGAATTCAAACGATGAGCCAATTGATTGATTCTCAATCATTCAAATGTTAAAACTATTGATGAGCTTTTCATTAGCTGAGTTTATCATGATTTCCATGATTATCATTATAATGAACTTTGCCATTGACCATTGGTCATTGTGCTATTATCTCAAAGGACGATCATCAATTTGATTGTTTTGATGAGACTTTACTTGATGAAAGGTACAACATGTTAATCGTGATCAGAAATTGTAATTTAATTAGAGTTAAAGTTAATCATTGAAAAATAATCATTCCAATCATTTATTATTATGTATCATTGATATTCAACTTAATCAAGAAACCAAATCTCAAGTTAATCTGAACACTTTTTTTATCATGATCATGAACGGATTACATTATAAATCCAATCTAAATACACAATTAAGAAACTGAATTACCCAAATGATTAAGAATTAGATTTAAATGTAAATCAAAATTATTAGCATGATAACAACAAACTCGAAATGATAATAAATAAGAAAAACAAAGTAACATCAGAACTTTTCCCACTTCGACTTTCTGAACCTTCAGAGTTTCATGATGATTTCTGAATAATAAATAACTTTATTTCTATCATGTTTTATCCCTATTTCTTTTTTTCTTAGTAAATTTTAAGATTTAAGTTCTAAACAAATCGAAAGTCGCAAAGTTACAGTTGAGAGGAACATGATGATGAAAATCACGAAAGAAATCAAATGTCACCATGTAAGATGAATTATCATTTAATCTGATGGTTTAATCAAAGGATAGAAAACGTTTTAATATAAACATTTAAATCGTAATCATTTGTAATGATGATAACATGAAATTATCACTCTCATTGATTATCAATGAACCTCATCACTATCATGATAAGTTATCAGGGTGGATAATAATAATCATCACTCATCATCATCATTTCCCACCCTTTTCCTGACAGATTAACCTTTTTAACTTGTTAAAATCCGTTAATCATCAAGATGGATTAGTAAAGATATGATATTCTGATAAATGATAATCTGATTAATCAAATGATATAAACAGGAATTGTTTTTTTCTGTGTTATCTGAATTCATCCCAATGTAACCTCATGATTATCGTCATGATAATCTTCATAGAAACATGATTAGTATGAGTCCTTTTCAGTGAATGAATAACAATTTCCACCTTGGAATTGACTCAATGATGAACTTTCCATGTAGACTTATGATAATCCATCATTGAAACTGTCACCAGAACAATTTTTCTCCCCCTCATCATTATCATCATGATATTTATCCAACATCAATCAACCCTGTAAGTCAAAAGGTATCAGTACCTTTGGAAATCAATGGTTGTGTTGGTCAGTTTAACTTTATTGAGTCTTCAAGTTGGTCAACTTGAATAAATTTCAAATAAACTCGTTGACCATTAATCCGCTTAACTTGGTTAGCTTCAAGTCAATTAGTATTAATAATCATCATTAATTTTACATGGAAATGATCAATTTTGGTAACCACAATCAATGAATTTCATGATTCCAATGGAAAACTAATCAACTCAACTTCAATTGGTCATCTTAGTGGTCAAACTTACCTCCAACATTAAGATAAACGTAACCAAATGCTGTTGAATTATTATTACCGATTACATTACATTTATATGAACCGGAATCCTCTGGAATTAGATTTCGTATCAACAAGTAACCTTTAATTTTATCAATTAAATGGTGACGATGATCAGCTGGAAGTTGTTGATTACCTGGATTGAAAGATAAACATGATGATTAGTGATAATCTTTATTATTAGATGAGAAGAGTATTTATCTTCAACCTGCTCAGATAATTCAGATAAATGGTTTGAAATTTAATTCACTTGACCAATATAACCACTGGTCATTCATTTTCAAGACTTTTTCTTGTTTTCCAAAGTTAATCTACTCATAATTCAATTGTCAATCAATTTCAATTTTCAAGTTATCTTTTCATGGTAACACTTCATGATATTTTATTTTGAATCAAAAGCAGAAAAAAACCTCAGAATTCATGATAAGTTCATTTTTTTCCTGTTCTATGGATACATTGTAAAGATTTGATCGAGGCCACAAAACTTTATGACATCGAACCATTTATAACAATATCGTTGTTTACATTATCACGAACATGATGTTTTCGAGCTTGTCAAAGTTTTGGAACTTTTTTTGTTCTCTTTCAAAAAGTTCTAACAAAATTTGGAAACATTAAAATCTTAATGATCTCAGTGAAAAATTAGTTAACAATAATAAAGAAACAATTATGATTAAGGTAATCATCTTAATGATTTCCATTCCAATGGTTCAGTTTGATCATCATGAAAATAGTTATTCAATAAACATTAATGATGTTACCTGAACATTTTAATCAAGTTGATTGTTTACTTAGGGTGTGGTACAATTTTTGTATTATTCAGTTACCTGAACAAGTGACATGGGAAAGAAAACAATTTTCAAACAATTTCTTCATGAAATGAATAATTAATTGAGTCAATTTTCTTGATTAAGGTAAGAATATGATGAAATAAATGTAATTTTCTTTTGAGAACTGACGAAAATTTCATTGGAAATGAGTAAACTTGGTGGTTATGAGATATTTAACAATTTTCGAAAATTGTGCGAAAAAAATTTGATGGACATTGTCCATTTTAGCAAGAGAAAGGAGAACATTAATCTTCACATGTAATCACTTATTCTTGTAACAATTGTTCCTTATCCTAATCAATTCAACGAGATTGAACTTATCTCTCCCTGTCAATGAGAAATGATAACAAACAATATGATTACACCTAAAGACAAGAAGAAAAAAAAAGTTTTCTATCATGAAGATAAAGCGGTCATATGTTAATCTCTGGACATACTGGACACTATTATCTTGAAAGGTCAATAGGATAAAAGTCAAGTCACACTTTGGGTCAACTGAATGGAAAACAAAAAGAAAAGAGAAAGTGATAACAAAGAATCAGAATATCATATATTGTGGAAGAAGAGAAAAAAATTCAATATTTTTCTTGTATTATTTTCGCCTTCGAAATCATCATTTGTCATGGAAGGGAATTTATCTCGTCAGTTCTTGCTGTCTGATGATCGAGGAGGATAAACATTGCGAGAATGAGAGAGAATGAGAGAGAGAGAGTAAATATCATCCCTTGGAATCTTTAGAACTATCAGAAAGAATCAGGAAGAAAGATATTGTATCTATTGTGTCACAATCGAAGGAGAATTTTTTTCTTCTTCTCTTCCCTATTTTTCCCTCCATAGACAACATTTCCCTTGTCTTGTCCAGAGTAAAGTCCATTTATCTTTTTCGCTGACCATTCAATTTCTTTCTCTTTTTTTTCTTACTTTTCTCACTCATCATCTTCATTTATTAATCAACCTTTCATGAGATCATGAATGAGAGAGAAAGATACTCAGAGTGTTATTACCTTTTATTATTACCATAACCATGAACAGAATCCTGAAGAAGTGAACAACTAACATGAGAGTTAGGACCATGGAACATGAATTAACCGGGAAGAAAAGTAAATACATCATTCCAAATGTAATAATAATAATAATAATAATTCTAGAACAGAAAGACATTGTCATCCTTCATCATCATCATCATCAGAATCTTTCTCATCACCTTCTTCATATTAACTGTTTAGTTGATAAAATGACAAACATATTAATATATTTTCACCTTTAATGATGAAAAATGTTTCATCTCGAAAATTAATAAAACTTATTTCAGTTTCCCCTCTCAACTTTTTTTTCACCATGAAATGAAAACTCAGTTATCTATCTGATTCTCGTCTTGATGAATGAACTTTGTCTTCATCAGGGTAAAGCATTTAAATAGATGATGAGTATATATACAAATAAGATAACCTTGGAATTGAATTTCTTATTCTAACAACAATCATTTATTAAGTTATCATGATAACTATTTATATACACTCAGAATGCTACCAAGTAACTGAACAGAATTTTTTTATGTAAAATTTTATCTCATAATTGGATTGTTATCAAGTCAATTAACTGGATAAGTTATGATTTTCCAAGAAAATTGTGTAAGAATTTAATTTAAAGTTGACTTGATGATATTTACATACAGAATTCTGATTGATTCTGATTTAAAATGTAAGACAACAAATTTTATCATGAATCAAATGTGATTAGATTAATATGCATATATAGTTGGTCTTGTAATGGTTTTTATTTTCTTACATGATAACAACAGGGTGAAAGTGATAATATGCTGACAGAATGGAAATGATATTCTGAAAACTATTAGGAACTTTTTTTCTTTAGCAAAAAATTGTTTCAAAATCATTCATAATTTACTGTTGTCAAAATGATCCACCAACCAAATGGAATCAGAGTGAGAAAATGATTCAAGTCTCCCTGAAGTGAAAAATTCAATACACAATTGATATGCAAGAATTTCAGGAAAATGGATACAAAGTTATATTCAAACATTGAGGGTAAAAGGTGGAAGGTTAAAGTTGGATAAATGGAAGATGAGTAAATAATAATAATGATAATCCAATTCTTGGCATGAGGAAAAAAATCCAACACCATAATTCAGGAGTAAATGTATTCATTTTTTCAATGGAATTGGATAAATATTTTCACCATGGATTTAGATTATTTACCAATTGAATCAGGGAATTCACCTTGAAATCTGATATTTTACCTTCCATCAAAATTGAAAACTAATATTTACTTTTCTCTCCATCATTTGATTGACTATTTAATCATCAATATCATTTCCAAGAATTGATTCACAGCTCATGATGATGATGATTAGATTAGCCTGGGAGATTTGATCCAATTGATTTTCTCCTTCCTCATCTTCATCATTCTGACATATTTTGTTTCTCATGTTATTTTTCAGTGAAAAAAAAAGTTCTACTCTTATTATAATTCATGAACTTTTCTATTCCAATTCTCTTGATATTTAAAGATTCTCGTATGTATACATTTCACTATCACATTGTTTTCTGATTTCATAATAAACATTTCATCACATTGAACATACCAATAATTGTTGTTGTTTCAAATGTTATCCCTCAGTGAATTTCAAGTTATCATCATGTAACAATTCATGTTGCAATAAACCCCTGTAAATATTATTGATATAAAAAATGAACTTGAAGAATTGATAACCAATAATAACAACATGATGTTAATGTATTGGATGTGTTGGAAATGTTACATTTGAAGACAATAAAAAAAGAAATTCAGATTTGCAATAAAATTCTGATGATCATGATTCCAATTCAGAGCCATTATCCAAGAGGCTATTGTTGTCCAATCGATTATTATTACTGTAGATTAATTTCCATTAAAAACTTGAAGTTATCGACTTATTGTTCAAACAATTAATCAGAACATTTGAGAACGAAAAAGTTTCCATCAAGTTGAAATTGTGATTCTAAAACTGATTTACCCTGGAGAATGGTCTTTGTTTTCAAATGATTTAATTGTGATATCGAATTTGTATTATAAGTGAAACATTGAACTCGCTCTCATTGGAACAACTGACCATGAAAAGAAATTGGAGTTACCCTGTTGAAAATGGAGATATCATGAATTGTGGACTCACAATTAGGGTGAAAAATTCTGAGCGCATTTTGTTTACATTATGTTTCAAGCCATTTTCTCACATGATATGTTTACATCAAGAGAGAGAGAGAATAATTTTCTTGTGAATAACTTTATCTCCTTGACGACTTTTCTCCCACCCACCACCATCACCAGCCACCCATTCATGTAGAGACAAGAGGTGGTGGAAAAGGAAATTCAAGTTTCCATGATAACCGAAAATGGCCCAGAGATTTATGTTCATCCAAGACAATGTTACTCTTTTAAACTGTTGAAATTTATATGAAAATTGAACCCATTCTGACTCAGAATAGTAGCTAGACATCTATTCATGTAGATGGATAAAAAATATCACATGAAGAGAATTCTGGATGGAGAATCATGAAAAAGAATTGCATGAAATTGGAATATGATCGTTCTAATGGAAATGAAATAAAATGATGCATATGAAAAGATGGAAATGAGGTAACATTATCAGAACTTTTTCTTCAGTTGGAATAGAAAAAAATTATCATGTTATTCTATTCTCTTTCCCACCCTTGTCTCCCATCTTTCAGCAAAAATTTCCTCATCTTCCTCGGGTTCATCTCTCTCTTCCCCTCTCTCGATTTCTATCATGACTTAGTCTCTTCATTTCCATGAATAGCTGAACATGTAAAGTGACTGTCGAAGGATGAAACTTTTCCACCCCACTCCACCCTCTTTCTCTCTCTCTCTCTCATGAAACAAATATTAAAAGAAAAACAAAGCAGTTTCAAGTTAGAAAACGAAATCAAAATGATAAATAAGAATTCATTCAATTCCAAAGTAACATCATGCTAATATCATGAACATGAATTAATGTCAATGAAATGAAACATAAAATTGAAGAAAAGTGAAGAACCCTGAAAGAAAAAAGTTTTCCGAAAACCGAATTTTCAAAATTAAAACTTTTCTTTGTCTCTTACAATTGTAATCTCATTTTGACAAGCCTAAAAAAATAATCGACAAATTGTGATCTAATAATAATGATATTTAATTATCTTCTTTTGATTAATTATCTTTGGTTATTAACGAAAATAATATAATTAAGATTAACACTGATAATCTTAAAAATGATCACAGATTAATGAGAAATTTTTAATCTTTCAAAATTTTAATGGTTCGAGAGAGAGAGAGAGAGAGAGAGAGAGAGAGAGAGAGAGAGAGAGAGGAGATAATTATCTTCCATGATAATAAAAGGTAAATATTCAACTTGAGGCTGAACTTTTCTCACCCACCTTACTCATCTAATCATCCACTTTAATCCAATGAATAGTTTTCATTTAAGCCATTAAAACTTTTCAGGGTAAAGTAGATAAATGAACATGATTCATGAAATAATCAGTAAACAATCAATTCCATAAGAGAGGTGGAGAGAGACAGAGACAGAGATGGGTGAGGTTGGAGGAAAAGAGGTTCGAAAAATATTAGAACATTTTTCTTTCTCGAATCAACAAAAAGGTTGTCAAAATATTTATCATTAGAGTTCATCTTCAATTCAATATATACCAGCATCATAGAGCTATTTAATTACCATTATCATGATGATCATTTGTGTCACTCGTGAAAATGACTTAACGATTATGATTACCAGGGTGGGAAAGATTATTTTTTTTCATTCGATTCACCCACCGACTAATGTTAACATGATAGATAAATAATGAAAAAGACACAAGAAGTGTAAGAATTAATGAGATTAAACTAGCCATGAGATGATTAATTCGGAGTGGGGATAATGATGAAGAGTGGAAGAAGATAAAGAGAAGCATTTTTTTCATTTTCTATTCTTCAACAAAACCTTTTCAACCTTTTTTATTAACCTTTTCCTGGTTTCATGACATTAATCATGTTATCATATTAATTATCATTTTTTGAATGGAAAAAGGAAAAAGTAAAATTCCAATCATGTTTATAATCACTTATCAATGAATCTTCATCTTGAATGTCCAGAATTACCATGAGCTTGTAATATTATTTGTTGATTTCCATTAACAACATCAACTGAATTCTGAGAGATTATCATTTTATTTTTGACAAGATTTTCATTACCTTTTTCCCAGGAAATTGAATGAATAGGATAACCTCCGTATCGGCATTCAAGAGTTATATTTGACCCTTCTTGGCCTAGAACCATTGAATCGTGGACAATTGGATTACCATGGACATTAAGACGACCTGAATGGCTGACCCTTGTAAGATCATTTTCAAATATACATGTATAAAGGCCAGAAGAGGTTAAATTAACGGAGGTCAGATTAACGGTTGTCCTTACTTCCGATGCAAATCGGCGGACTTGAACCAATGGTTTACCGAGAGTTTCACTTTCACTTTTACCACCAGCTCCTGGATCATTGGAGCTGACACTTTCCAATGGGTCAATCGGCTTACCATTAAATAGCCAACCTGCTCGAGAGGAAGAGGTAAGCCGGATGCTGAACATGAAAGGAGGACATTCCCTCCAGGGTTTACCAGAACATCATCAAAGGTTGTCGTTAAAAAGAGCGGAGATTCTGAGAGTGGATTTGGTGGAGTTGAAAAAGAAATAAAAAAGTTTTGAATAATCATTTCATCATCACCCTGAGTTAATTGTTTCAATCATTGGAAATGAAATTGAATAAAGTGTAAAAAAAAGTTCTCATTCTTTATCTATCGGATTGATTCAGTTTCATGGTTGAGTAAAAGTTCAACGTTCATGTGTCACGGTGAAGCTTTTGTCCTCTTTCCTCATCTGATAAAGTTCTGAATTTCTCTTCTCTTTATCTCTCCCTCTCGATAGACAATTCTGAACAATTTCTGTAGTTCGAAGGGTGGAAAATACTTTTCCATTTATTTGTTCCTCCCACTGAACTGATGGAAATTTTTTTTCTTGCTATTTTCATCATGATGATGATGATATGATTCTCATAATATGATAGAGACAAATAATGATAAATAAAAACAACTTTCTTTTACCATGGTTATCCAACCAAAGCGATTCAATTTTCATTCAATGATGATGATGATAACGGTACTTTTACCATCCATGAGGTTATATGTTTTTTTTTATTCTAAAAGGAAACTTATAAAACTTTCTTACCTTTAAAATTGATAAAAGATGATGAAATTTGAGATGATGCAAATGTGGATGCTAAACCTGAAGATAGAGATATAAAAGTGACCAAACCTAAAAAGATATCGGAATAAAAAAGTAATAAGCAATTCAATTAGTTGCAGAATGAGAAATAATTACAAGTTGATGATATTATTTGTAATATGGAGGATTCTGAGGGAAGGTGACAATTTCTGGATGCCAGTGTTTCTTTGTCACCAAATATCATGCAAATTAAGTGAAATGGAAACAAAGTTTATTCATCCTTATTCTGGACTATTCTTAGAATTTTTTTCTTGTCAGAATTTACAGAGATTTCTCTCTCTCTCTTGGTTTCTTTCAATTTCATCAAATTTCCAGCATTCGGATAAGATGCTAAAAGGGAAGAAGATGAAGAAAAAACAATCCAAGCGTTTTTATCATTTCCCTTCCATCATCATGATAACAATTCACTCATGAAAATGAAAATAAAATAACAGATAAAATAGTTATCACATTATCAACATGTTGACTTGAAATATTATAGATATACTTATGTTCATAAAGCATATCCTTTCCATCATATTATCCACTCCCACCACCCACTTTACCTCCTTCATCTTCATCAACTCTCATGATGGGAAAAAGTTTTTTTTTCATCCTCATCCCAAAAGGTTTCAAACAGAATCTCATGAAGAGGTGGTTGATATTATCCTCAGGGATGATCATCATACTATCTGATTGTTGATTGTTATCCATGTAGATGGTGGGAAAGGTGAAGGTTTTGTAACCATCCATTTAGTATTAATATTATAAAGAGTGGGGTGTCAATTTTGTCGCTCACTTTCATCTTCCATATCAATTCATTCATCTTGTTTCAGTCTGTTGATTGACTTAGTATTCAATTTTCAATCTGTTTATGAATCTATTTGTTTCATCATCATGAGTTTTATTTCATCATTTATGGTTCAATTGATTTTCATTTTCACCAAAGTGATAAAATTTCATCTCTTTTTTTTCATTCCTTTTTGATATTCTCAGTTCTAGCACTTGATGATATGGAATAGGTGAAAAATTGAAGAGATTTGAATGAATTGACACTGACAGAAAGACAACAGGGGAAAAGCTGATTGTTATCTATTAGATAATCAGATGATTCTGAGTATTCATTTGGATTGTGATCTCAATTAAGATAAGATTAATGAATAGTTTCTCAAGTGATTACATTAAATTGTTTCAACTGAATAGATCAAGAGATATATATAAAGAGTTGGAGGTTGGGTGGTGGCCGATAGGTTGGTGAATAAGTGGATGGATAAACAGAATTATGTGAATTCTTGAAATTCTTGATGATTGTCATCCGAAACTTGTTAGATATACACCCAAGTTACATGGTAAACAGATGATATACTCTGAATATCATGAGATAATTTTAATCATTCTCATCTAAACCAATTGAACCATCACATTGACATTGGTGTAAAAAGTTCAGTTTCAATGAAATCCAGAATTTTATTACTAATCAAATCAAGAGAGAGATTAAATCATTTGAAGAGCAATTATCACCAATCAGATGATTCAGTTTGATTTCATTATTAATCTGAATCTTGATAAATAACAAATTGACATGTTGACATGAGATTTTTATCAACAATGTTGTAAATTAACTAATTGTAATCAAAGGATTAACATATTACAATGATGATGAAAATGTTCAGATGGTGATTTGTTTCTGATGTGAAGGTGTTGATGATTTTATCTGATGATGATAATAGTTGATTGTAATGGTGATGAGTTGACAGTTAATTTCCAATTGAATGAATATTAAGAATCAAGGTGAGAGTAAAAAAGGAACCAAAATGACAAATTGTTATGGACGAAAATCAGTTAATATTTGATTGATATCAGATTAATTCACATGAAAGAGAGTGAAAATTTTCAGTGAATTGGTTATTGAAATGAATCAATGTGATAATTATGAAATTATTATAACATTTTAATATTTGTCGATATCAAGTTTCAATGTAGTGAGTTTATTTGTATCAGCAAATAATCAACATGGGAACTTTTAATAGATATAATTTCAATTTCAGAATAATATTATCAGGCTGAGAGATAAAGTGAATATTAATGTTCAGAACTTTTTTCTGTTTCTTATCCTTCACTTGATATTATCTTTCCTATTCTGAGATAAACAAATATGAGTAACTATTAACTATTTTCTCAAATGCAAACAAAATGAAATGAAACTGAACTTATCATGAAAGTTAAAAGGCAGAGAAAAAAAAGTAAATGATAAAATGAATGAAAATTAACCTTTTGGCTTCATGATGAAAGTTTCACTGAAAACTAGTTACATTTCATGAAACTCATGATCTTCATGATGTTAAAACGATGATGAGATTTATTGAGATAAATGGTTTTCGCTCAATCTGAGTTTTTTATATGTTTTAAAATTTAAATATAATCAACTCAAGTTCATGAAAGAAATGAATTTTTCAACGATCATGTGAATGTTATTCATTATATGATAACCTGGACTCGTAGCATTTGATTATCATAAAGTAGTCCGGAAATTAGTGATCATTCCAGAAGTAATCAGACTAAGGGTCACTTTCAATTCCATTCAATATAAATGAGTACTCTTTTAGTGAGTTCAATAACTTGCTGACTTTCAGTCTTTCATGATAATTTCAAGCATTTCATGACTTTGTTTTCATGGAACAACATTTCCAACTCAGTTTTCTCAAATATTCGTGTTTAAATCTCGAGCATCTTTCTCATCATCAAGATAACACGATTGGTTCCATGATAAATTCAGTTTAGCACGCAAGGGATAAAACTGGTTCCATATTAGAAAACTGTATTTGATATATAAAGTTCATTGTTTTTATCTCATGTGAATATATTATCATCTTGAAAAGTTCATCATGATGATGAGCCATGATAACTGAATGTCAATAAAGTTTCAACTTTTTGATTCTTTGTTCATGAAAACAATTTAGTTATTTTTTTTCTTCCTCTTCTAGTTAAATAATTTTTTCCTTTCATCAATTTCTATTCAGTGAATTCATTCCTTTTCATATTGGAGCATCATGAAAATGAGCAACAATATATGAACACTAACAATGTGTAACTAGAGCATGATGGTTATCACCATGATAATAACTCGATGGAAAAGATGAATTGGAAAAAAGGTGTACATATATTTCCCTGTCTCTCTCTCTCTCTCTCTCTCTCTCTCTCTCTCTCTCTCTCTCTCTCTCTCTTTACCATGTAGATTGAAAATAATCCACAAAAAGAGTGATCCGAATTTCTGTCAGAATTTTTCTCATCTTCATCCTCCTCTTTTTTGCTTTTCAATGGTCAGATAAAAGTCAACTGAATGTCCATTAGAATGAAACTTTATCCTCCTCTACCTTTTCTCTAGGATAATAATCATGGTGAATATATATTTTCATGTGAATATTGACTGACAGTGAAAGAGGAAAATGTTCATATGATAAAAACGAAAAATTGAGAAGGAGCAAGAGAGAGAGAGAGAGAGAGAGAGAAGATCCTTTTTAAAATCCTCTTCCCATCGGTAGATTGTTCAATTCATGGAGTCATTGAAAGATGATGATAAGAATAAGAAACATTTACTGATGGTGGTTGGATAGAGGGAGGAAAAGGAAGAGGTGGTGTGGTGGTGGTGGTGGGTTACAATATGATGGTTTTTATATTTATCATGTATATATCATGTCAGTCAATGTGTATGCTCCTGAATAGGTTTCATATTATTGAACAAAAGGTAAAAGTGATAAAAGTTATATATCCAATTCATGGTAAGAATCATTTCTTTTTTATTTCAATCTGCTGAATCTATTTCATTTTATCAACAATCAAAAGGCTTATCATTATTTTCACTGTTACTTTTTTTGTATCTATTGCCTGCACCCACTGAGCCTCCTCCCATTCTCATTTCTCTCTCACTCACTTACTCACTCGTTGTGAATGATATTCACTTTCAGAACTTCATTCTCATTCTGTTCAGATTCAATTTTTGTTAAATTCTAAGGGGTGAAAAGGTTGCAAGAGCCCACGAATTGAATGTTGCCAGAGAAAAATTTCAAATTCTATTGGATTTTGATAGTTTATCATTATTATTATCATGATTTTCTCATGATACAAAACTTTTCTCCTTTTTCCTCTCTCGTCTACTTTTTTTCCATCATCATTGTCATGAAATTTCATAATGGTAACACTTTTCATCATCATCATCCAATTGAATGAGTATTATTATCATCTTGAAATCCCCCTGAGGTCAATATCAAATTGAGTATCACCTCATAATAGATATTCAATTTTCACCAAATATAAACAATTGAAGCAATATTATTATTATAAATACATTTCCAATTTCAGCTCTCAAACAACCCAATTCAATATATTGAAATTGATCATGAAAGTTGACTGAAATACCCTTTTATTTATCTCTCTGGGTATAAAATAATTATACACCATCATCATTTCATGGTTGATTCAGCTTCAAGGTGACAAAGTATTAATGAAAAGGCAACACTCAGTGTAATTGATGTTAAATTGGGAATGATTATCTCACCATGGTAAATAAACTCAATTTGTTTCATCAACTTATATGTACATATTATATCACATGAATGAATATGGAATTGAATTGTACTGATTAAAAAAAGGTACATCATTTAGAGTTAATTGAATCATCAACAGAAAAAACAGACTCTCAAGTGATGAAGATAATCATCATTATCATCTTGATGGTTTTATTGCTTTTATGTTGATGCAGAGAGAGAGAGAGAGATGATAAGATTGAAATTTTTTTATTTTTCATGTGACCACAAAAATGATGTTATGAAAATATGAATGAAATTGCCTGTCATCAGCAGGGAAACAGGGATGAGGATGGAGAGAGAGAGAGAGAGAGAGAACCACATTCTCATCTTGATGGTGATGAGGAAGATAAGTCTATGTGAATTTACTACGGGCAAATACACGGAGGGAAATCATTGGGAATAAAAGAGAGACTCAAATGGTTTATGTTAAATTTTGGGAAGAGGCGGAAGACAGAAAGTGGAGAA